TTTCCTCTGTCACAGTCGCCTGACATTGGGCAAAGTCTAGTACACATTGATTAGGTCTAGTAAAGTGATATGCATATGTGATGCCTATGAGATTGACCTTGTATGTCATTCAAATCTGTTTGAAATGACGAACAGGAATGAATATGGTTTAGGAGTTGGTATCTCAAACTTTTACAAGTTCTTAAAACACACACAAGAGGGGATGGGGTGACCTTAGGGACTACCCCTATATTTCATTTGATTTTTTATGTTGTCCCATACATGAATATATATATGGTTTAGGGGTGGGGATCTCGGCCTTTATCAAGTTTTCAAACAGGAGGGGGTGGGGTGACCCCAGTGACTTCCCCTATATTTCATTTGATTTGTTATATTGCCAAATACATGAGTATATATGGTTTAAGGGTGGGGATCTCATCTGTTTCCAAGTTATCAAACAGGACAATATTTCATTTGATAAGTTCTGCTGTCCCATACATGAATATATATGGTTTAATTTAGAGGTCGGGATCTCGACTGTTTCCAAGTTCTCAAACAGGAGGGGTGGGGTGACTGCAGGGACTCCCCTATATTTCATTTGATTTGTTATATAGTCCCATACATGAATATATATGGTTTCGGGGTGAGGATCTCGACCGTTTCCAAGTTCTCAAACAGGATGGTTTACAGTGACCATAGGAGCTGCCCCTATATTTCATTTGATCTGTTATATTGTCCCATACATGAATATATATGGTTTAGGGTGGGGATCTCGACCGTTTTCAAATTCTCAAACAGGAAGGGGTAGAGTGGCCCCAAGCACTCAACCTATATTTCATATGATTTGTTATATTGTCCCATACATGAATATATATGGTTAAGGGGTGGGGATCTCGACCGTTTCCAAGTTCTCAAACAGGAGGGGTGGGGTGACCCCCAAGGACTCCCCCTATATTTCATTTCATTTGTTATATTGTCACATACATGAATATGTATGGTTTATGGGATCATTATTTTTTTGTATGCTCCAATGAACAAATTATGTCTTTAAGAGAAAGGTATATACCTACATATTACACACAAAATCCTTCCCAATTGAAACTTACTGGTCTATTATCACACTGTAACGTGCCACTGCTAACAAAAGTGTGCATGTTTCTAAGACATATTGAAAAAATATTTTCATAATACAAAGCATGTTACAATAACTTCATATCCACGTTGCAATTAAGAATTTTGCAAACAAATCAACCAAATATGGTTTATTTCAATTTTATTGTATGATATCACTTATTTATTTATTGTGTGTCTTGCTTGTAAATGTATAAGTATATATGTAATTGTTAATGTATAATTGTTATCCTCTTGTAGCACCATACGTGTGCTTAAGTTTAAATAAATTGTCTTGTCTTGTCTTGGGATCTTGACCGTTTCCAAATTCTCAAACAGGAGGGGTGGGGTGACCGCAGGGACTCCCTCTTTATTTCATTTGATTTATTATATTGTCCCATACATGAATATATTTGGTTTAGGGGTGGGGATCTCGACCATTTCAAAGTTCCCAAACAGGAGGGTTGGGGTGACCCCAGGGACTCCCCTGTATTTCATTTGATTAGTTATATTGTCCCATACATGAATATATATGGTTTAGGGGTGGGGATCTCGACTGTTTCCAAGTTCTCAAACAGGAGGGGTGGGGTAACCCTAGGGACTTCCCCCCATATTTCATTTGATTAGTTATATAGTCCCATACATGAATATATATGGTTTAGGAGTGGGGATCTCATCCGTTTCAAAGTTATCAAACAGGAGGGGGTAGAGTGACCCAAAGGATTCCACCTATATATCATATGATTTGCTTACATTCAGGTATCATATAATCTAGTTGCACTATTTGTGAAAACAAAGTAAGAAACTTCCAGCTATTTTAACTGACCCTTCAAAATTGAGAAAAAAATTGCAGTAATATGTTTACACTTTAAAAGCATCTTACATGCATTATCAATATTTATCACTGATAAAGAAGATTTATACTGTCACCAGGAACATATATATTGTTAGATATACTGTTCCCAGCTGTCACATTGTATTGGATTTGGACATTAAAATTTGTCAGAAAGTAATTTTGAGTTTCTGTATCAAATATTTTTTGCTTTTTCTTTCTTTTACATATATCTTTTGGTTTCCATTTCTAGTGTTTATATTTATTTACCATGCATAGATGTATTTTGTCACCTGCCTGAAATTTTTTTTTTGTAGTTGATCTCCAAAACCCGGAATTACCCTTATCCGCTTCCGGAATCGGACCCGATATTGTAATTGTCTACACGGCATCCATTGTTTTTCGATGTTGTTTTTGTCAGTCAGATACGATTTTACTCGAATTTACACATTACTTGTCGGCGATTATCTGTATAAAGCTAGCGGTTGAACAAAATGAACATCGCTGTTATGAATAATAAAGATGAAAATACGTTTTGAGATCGTTTATTTAGAGACTTTGGTAAAAAGGTTTGCAAAGTTATTTTTAATTTCTTTCAAGTGAAAGGTCCGTCGGGCGTAGCTAGTAACCAAGTCGAGAGTCCGATTGCAAAAGTGGAAGGTCGCGGACCTCGGACCACCGCTAATTTGAACCCCTGCCTCCAGATTGAAATGATACGAAAATTTCGTCTTCTAATTTGAAATTGCCGCCAACAGCATGAACAGTTGAACTTATTAATAGACTACTGACGTAGTTGTACCACGTATTGACGACAAACAATATTCCTACGACTTTTGCCATTTGGGAAATCTAAACTACTTGTCTTTAAAGATTTTCGGCGATTAAATATTTCATACAATTGTTCTTTGACATCTTAGCCAAAAGCACAGGGGATAATAAACTACATAAGGATTCCTAATGTGCTCTACTTCCTATGTGCAACTTCAAAACTTTTGGGTGGTTCGACGATCATTTAAGGTTTTTTCTGGTCATATTTTTGTAATCCAGAATTAAAAGTATGAAAAAACTATTCAATTAGTTATAAATAACATTATATCCAGCTAGATAATAACAATGGCACGTATTTCAGCATTTATTGGGTAGAACAAAAATCTAGGGTGCTCGCATAAGGCAGCTTAACTGCCTAACAAAAACAAAATCAGACAATGTGTTTTCATGTATTATGTGGACAGTGAATTTAAATTTAGATATTGTTTACTTACTTAAATATAAATCATGACTACTTATATGTACCTTTATATGAATATTATGGATTTTTTTTACTATTTGTTTCTTTAGTTATGATAATTTGATAGTTTGCATGTCAATACTTATTGATTATTTAGATATCAGGAGAACTCATATTGGAAGAAAGAAGAGTATATCACCAGTGAAAAGTGACATACTTTTCAATGGCAATACTTTAATAATTATCTCCGTTAGATAATTCATATTTATTTTTATGTTAAAAATTTAAGATATTCCATTTATTATTATTATTAAGATTAAAGTGTAATTTGTAAAAATTAGGAGTTAGAATTCTTTGTGATAATTTTACACCTTTTGCAAAACATGTCAAGATTATATTTTTGTTCAATGTCTGAGATTAAGGATTAAGATATTTTTCTGTTATTGTTATCATACAGGTTTAGGTCTTTTAACAGTAAGTTTGAAATTAATAGATAAATATACTGAATTAACAACTTTTAGTTAAAGCTGTCATTTATATTTGAATGTTGTAATTAAGAATTGCCATGGAAGATGTGTTTGTTGTAATATAGTTGATGATGACCACAAAAGCCAGGACATACATCGACCCCTACCAGTGACCAATCAACTCTACCATGTGTCAGCTAGTCAACCCCCATAGTAAACCCAGTGATGAGGGTCGAGGTGCATCTTTCATCCTCGTCAAATGCATACCAAATTACATTGTCCTAACATTTGAAATAGTGGTTCATCTTAAACTTATCTAATCATAACCATTTACATATAAACTATGCAAAACATTTAAAGTCGTCAATAGACCATGAATGAGGGGGCAGAGCCAAACTATCGCCATGAGATGTGTTAATGTTAATACATCTGCATTCCAAATATCATTGACATACCGCTAATGGTTTCCCATAAAATGACCTAATCAAAAACTAATTCATGTAGACTAAGTAAAAGTTTTAAAGTCAATAGACATTGACTGAGGGGGCAGGGCCAAATATTTCTATTGAGATGTGCCAATGCTTATACTACTGCATACCAAATATCATTGACCTACTACAAGTTGTTCCCCATAAACTGTCCAAATCACAAACTAATACATTGTTGACGTCAACGCCAGAGTCTCACTTTTTCAACTTCGTCGATGCAAGACAAAAATCCACTTGAAACTAAAAAGTTGGTATGTCTGTCCAAAGGATAGAAATTTGCAAGAAATTTTGAGTAAATGTCTTAAATTTTGATCCAATTTATCTCTTAAAAGTAGCACATGAAAGTATATTCTTTGTTACAAATATAAATTGAGTCTTTTGACTAGGTGAAAAAATTCACTGTGGGATCAAAACTGTATCGTATGCCCTTAATGTTCACCTCAAGATATGTTCCAATGACTACTGTGCCAAAGTAAGTATAATTATGTGTAAACGACATTACTTTCATCTTCATGTTAACAACCAGCCTTATGGCTAGAATGCATTCTCACAAATAAATCCAATTTCAAAAAGAGACATCTTGAGGTCAATTGATCACCTCCTGTTCTGCAAATTCAATGATATAGTTCATGGCAGGTGTTTTCATAATATAAGTTCTATTTTCAGGTGCAGAAGCAATATAAGTTGGTAACTGGGAAAATCCAATATAAAATTGAAACCAACAATGGTTCTTTGTAAATAGTTGTGCCAACTGCAATCATATCACATCTAATTTTTATAATGAACCTTGACAACAGGTAATATAAAAAGAAATTCCTTTGAAAATTTAATAAGGTATGAAACAGTACAGCCATTAGAACATGGCTTTCAATAAACCTCTTGGACAAGTAACAGGATTTTAAAACAACTAAAAATCTCCTTTATTTTGGAAAAATTGTATGAACAAAAATACAAAATATCTTATGTTACATTTTAAAATGCAATTACAGCCAATCAAACAGTAAACAGTCTCTAAATACCTTGGTCATTATTTCACATATATTTTAAGCTACAGAATGTATATATCCCTGCATGTGTAAGAATTCAAAACTTCATATTTTGCAAAGAACTCATCCAATGTCATGCAATGGATTTGGTCATATTGGCATTTTTATAGATCTAGTATTGGTGTATTGATGGTCACTTTCCCTGTTTTCAGTTCCTCCATAGTTTTATTTAGAGATAATAGGCAAAAACTCAAAAGTATGAGAAAATAAATGGGGAATGTTTCCATGGCACACAGATGATGCCCCCGCTTGCATAAAACATTATAAAGGGACATAACTCAAGAATGGTAAAAGGGCTGTTACCCAAATTTGTACTTGATCTGAGTTTTGAAGTAATAAGCATTGTATATAAGTTTCATAACATTTGGTTGAGTCAAACTAAAGTTAGAGAACAAACAGATATTTTTCCATTAGGAAAGGGGCATAACTCTAGAATGGTAAAAGTGGCGCCACCAAAATTCAACCTTGATCTGTGTTTTGTGGTAATAAGCATTGTGCATAAGTTTCATAACATTTGGTTGAGGCAAACTAAAGAAAGAGACTGGAAATGAAAATTCAGCAATTTTCCATTTTGAAGGGCATAACTCTAGAACGGTAAAAATAATGCCACCAAATTTCAAACTTGATCTGTGTTTTGTGTTAATAAGCATTGTGTATAAGTTTCATAAAATTTGATGAGGCAAACTAAAGTTAGAGAACAGAAACCAATTTTGGGACGCAAGTACAGAAGGATGGACGTACAAACGGACAAAGGTAAAACTTAATGCCCCCTCCTCTACGGCGGGGGCATAAAAACTTCATTTAAAGGGCATTTCCTTCCAAAAAGGGGTCAGGCAATGGTTTTAGTCATATTGGCATTCTTGTAGATCTTGCTTGTCTTGCTGTTAATTTTTGCAGTTTCCAGTTTTACTTATCTATTACTTTTTCAAGATTATAGGCAAAAACCCAAAAATTAGTAAAATAATTGTCTTTTAAGGACAATAACTCCTACTTTAAGTTATTCAATGGTTTTGGTCATACTGCCATTTTTGTAGATCTTCATATTTGCTGTTAAAAGTTTGTATAACAATAAGATGTGGTATGATTGCCAATTAGACAACACTCCACCAAAGACCAAATGCAATAGAAGCTAACACCTATAGTTCACACTACAGCCTTCAAGAATGCATCATAAGCATTGACATTTCTTATTTCCATGGAGGTTATTTGGTCCTTCACCTTCATCCATGGTTCATTGACTTTGAATGTGTTGCATAGTTTACATGTTAAATATTGCCATTTTAATTTCAATATTCATGTACTTATCTATTATAATTTCCAAGATAATAAGCAATAAAATGCTTCGCTGGGGCGCAGCTTGATATGACCGCAGAGGTCGAACCCTGAACAGTTGGGGCAAGTATGGACACAACATTCAAGCTTGATACAGCTCTGAATTTGGATTGTTATTAAATATTTGACACAGCATAGGTTTCTGACACAGAAAGAATGTGGTCTAAGAACTTGATTTTTTTTAATTTACCTATTATGGTCCAATGTCCAAAATCAAAATACATGGTTAGATTCAGCCTATCAAAGAACCCCATACATTCAATTTTTGTTAAAATCAAACAAAGTTTAATTTTGGACCCCAACTTGGACAAACTTGAAAACTGGGCCCATAATTAAAAATCTAAACACATGTTTAGATTCAGCATATCAAATAACCCCAAGAATTCAATTTTTGCTAAAATCAAACTAAGTTTAATTTTGGACCCTTTGGACCTTAATGTAGACCAATTTAAAAAACGGGACTTAAAATTAAAAATCTAAATACACGGTTAGATTTGGCATATCAAAGAACCCCAATAATTCAATTTTTGATGAAATCAAACAAAGTTTAATTTTGGACCCTTTTGACCTCAATATGAACCAATTTGATAGCGGGGCCCACAAATAAAAAATCTAAATTCATGGTTAGATTCAGCATATCAAAGAACCCCATATATTCAATTTTTGTTGAAATCAAAAAAAGTTTAATTTTGGACCCCAACTTGGACCAACTTGAAAACTGGGCCCATAATCAAAAATCTAAACACATGTTCAGATTCAGCATATCAAAGAACCCCAAGAATTCAATTTTTGTTAAAATCATACTAAGTTTAATTTTGGACCCTTTGGACCTTAATGAAGACCAATTTGAAAAACGGGACCCAAATTAAAAATCTAAAAACACGGTTAGATTTGGCATATCAAAGAACCCCAATAATTCAATTTTTGATGAAATCAAACAATGTTTAATTTTGGACCCTTTTGACCTCAATATGAACCAATTTGATAGCGGGGCATACAAATAAAAAATCTAAATACATGGTTAGATTCAGCATATCAAAGAACCTCATATATTCAATTTTTGTTGAAATCAAACAAAGTTTAATTTTGGACCCCAATTTGGACCAACTTGAAAACTGGGCCCATAATCAAAAATCTAAATACATGTTTAGATTCAGCATATCAAAGAACCCCACATATTCAATTTCTGTTGAAATCAAACAAAGTTTAAATACTGGACCCTATCTTGGACCAACTTGAAAACTGGGCCCATAATCAAAAATCTAAACACATGTTTAGATTCAGCATATCAAATAACCCCAAGAATTCACAATTTTTGTTAAAATCAAACTAAGTTTAATTTTGGACCCTTTGGACCTTAATGTAGACCAATTTAAAAAACAGGACCCAAAATTAAAAATCTAAATACACGGTTAGATTTGGAATATCAAAGAACCCCAATAATTCAATTTAAATGAAATCAAACAAAGTTTAATTTTGGACCCTTTTGACCTCAATATGAACCAATTTGATAGCGGGGCCCACAAATAAAAAATCTAAATTCATGGTTAGATTCAGCATATCAAAGAACCCCATATATTCAATTTTTGTTGAAATCAAAAAAAGTTTAATTTTGGACCCCAACTTGGACCAACTTGAAAACTGGGCCCATAATCAAAAATCTAAACACATGTTTAGATTCAGCATATCAAAGAACCCCAACAATTCAATTTTTGTTAAAATCAAACTAAGTTTAATTTTGGACCCTTTGGACCTTAATGAAGACCAATTTAAAAAACGGGACCCAAATTAAAAATCTAAAAACACGGTTAGATTTGGCATATCAAAGAACCCCAATAATTCAATTTTTGATGAAATCAAACAAAGTTTAATTTTGGACCCTTTTGACCTCAATATGAACCAATTTGATAGCGGGGCATACAAATAAAAAATCTAAATACATGGTTAGATTCAGCATATCAAAGAACCTCATATATTCAATTTTTGTTGAAATCAAACAAAGTTTAATTTTGGACCCCAATTTGGACCAACTTGAAAACTGGGCCCATAATCAAAAATCTAAATACATGTTTAGATTCAGCATATCAAAGAACCCCATATATTCAATTTTTGTTGAAATCAAACATAGTTTAAATACTGGACCCTATCTTGGACAAACTTGAAAACTGGGCCCATAATCAAAAATCTAAACACATGTTTAGATTCAGCATATCAAAGAACCCCAAGAATTCAATTTTTGTTAAAATTTAACTAAGTTTAATTTTGGACCCTTTGGACCTTAATGTAGACCAATTTAAAAACAGGACCCAAAATTAAAAATCTAAATACACGGTTAGATTTGGAATATCAAAGAACCCCAATAATTCAATTTTAGATGAAATCAAACAAAGTTTAATTTTGGACCCTTTTGACCTCAATATGAACCAATTTGATAACGGGGTCCACAAATAAAAAATCTAAATACATGGTTAGATTCAGCATATCAAAGAACCCCATATATTCAATTTTTGTTGAAATCAAACAAAGTTTAATTTTGGACCCCAATTTGGACCAACTTGAAAACTGGGCCAAAAATCAAAAATCTAAATACATGTTTAGATTCAGCATATCAAAGAATGTCATATATTCAATTTTTGCTAAAATCAAACAAAGTTTAATTTTGGACCCTTTGGACCTTAATGTAGACCAATTTGAAAACTGGACCCAAAATTAAAAATCTAAATACACTGTTGGATTCGGCATAACAAATAAATAAACGTGATCAAAGATTTTACAAATCTAATGCGCCATACTGTGAAATTAAAGATTTCTTCTTGAAATTTTTCAAATATTTGAAGAATAATTTTTTTAATTTCTGAAATCTGAAATGAGAAAAAATTGACCCCCCACAATTTCTTTTTATCCCCACCTTTTTTCCCCAACAAAATTCTTTCCCTCAAGATATGGTCATAATCTCAATTCAAATTTCCAATGGAGTTGGCAACCATAATTACCCATTTAAATTTACCATAGTGCTAACTTAATCTATTTTATAATAGAATTAAAAATATAGTGTCAAATCTTTCATATGGATTTTTTTGTAAAAAAAAAAGATACAACATTTGCAGATATTTTTTTCTGGTCTTCCTTTATATATATGCATTTCTTTAAACATAATTTAAAAGCAGTGTAAGGGAAGTAACCAAAACGTTGTATTTGGATTACCTCCCTTACACTGTTTTAAATTATCTTTATTGTTCATTAACCATTACTTTATACATAATTTAAAAGCAGTGTAAGGGAGATAATTTCAATGATGTATTTGATTTATCTCCCTTACACTGCTTTAAATTATGTTTTGTACTAAAGTATTTGTCCATTAACCAGGACAACCTTGTTTTTCCCCCTTTTTTGCCCCTAATTCCTAAACGGTTTGAGCCATAACCCCCCAAAGCAAATCCTAACCATCCCTTTGTGGTATGGAAACTTGTAGTATAATTTCAGAGAGATCCATACACCGTTCCACAGTTATTGTCTGGAAACTAGAAAATGCTTATTTTTGGCCCCTTTTTGGCCCCTAATTCCTTAACTGTTGGTACCATAACCCCCAAAATCAATCCCAACCTTCCTTTTGTGGTTTTTAACCTTATGGTCAAATTTCAAAAAGATCCATTCACTTAAACTAAAGTTAGAGTGCGAAAACCAATGTGTCTTCGGCTGACGACGATGACCCCAACGTCATACCAATATACGACCACAAATTTTCATAAAAATCATAAATCAGTAAAAATCAAAAAAATTATTAAGGACAATAACTCCTACAAAGAGTCATCTTTTCATAATTTTGATGCAAATAGGAAGGAGGCAAATCTTGACAGTTTGAGCACTTCTACCTTTTCAGAATTTCTCTATCTGTAAAGGTTGCCAATATATAAGACAATAAATGCATTTTACCCTTATGTTCTATTTTTAGCTGTGTGGCCATGTTGGTTGAATAGATGGAGCAAAAAACACAAACTTTACACTGGATAATATAAGGATCATTGTTAAAGTTTGGTTGAAATTGATCCAGTGGTTTCAGAGGAGGAGATTATTATAAAAGTTTATGACGAAGATGGAGGACAAGTGATGGCAATAGCTTGCATGGTCCTTTGGACCTGGTGAGCTAAAAACTATACCCTTGCTAGTTGTACTATTACATGAAATTTGTGCAAACAAGCAAAAAAATGCACATTGGGTGTGGAAAACAGGAATTAAATGCATGGTGGATGTCAAACATGCTTACTGGCTACAACTGAACATTAACAAGGTGCAGACTGAATATCTAAATATTCCCCTTCATAGAAACCAAGATAACTTTGACAAAAGTTTACGACCCAAAGTCTCTTAGAATGGATGGACAAAGGGACAAGTCGAGCGGTTACTAGACCGGCTCACAATTTCAGCGACACAGGTAAAATTCTGGTGCCTATATATACTATTTTAAGATTTTTCTTCACAAATTAAATTCATAGAGAATATTAAATGGCGCAGCGCAGCGCAGCGCAGCGCAGCGCAGCTGTCTACGACCTCAGAGGTCCAACCATGAACAGTTGGGGCAAAAATGGACACAATATTCAAGCTTGATACAAGTCTGAACTTGGATTGTAATTAAATATTTGACACATTATAGGTTTCTGACACAGAATATATGTAGTCAAAGAACTTGAAATTGGTTATATGATTTGAATTTATATTCAATTGAAGATTTCTTGCTGTTGTGCTATACACTGTGCTGTAGCGCAATACTTAGTAAATCTGTTTTCAGACTATATACAAAGAATTAGCAAAATAAATTGTGAACCCCAATTTTTCTTTGGAAAATTGACAATTTCTTAAATTTTGAAGGAAAAAAATTACCTGCACCCCCCACCCCCTTTCCAAAAAAATACATTGGAAGACATTTTGCTTTTTGTAAAATGTGGTACAATTTAAGAGACATCCATACACTTAAACTCAAGTTGTTGTCTGAAAACTAGAAAAATGGTTGTTTTAGACCCTTTTTGGCCCCCAATTCCTGAACAGTTATGGCAATTATCCCCAAAATAAATCCCAACCTTCTACTTGTGGTATTGAACCTTGTGGTACAATTTCAGAGCAATCAAAATACTTATACACAAGTTATTGTCCTGAAACTAGAAAATGCTTGTTTTGGGCCCGTAATTCCTAACGGTTGGGACCATCACCCCCAAAAACAATCCCAACCTTCCTTTTGTGGTATTGAACCTTTTGGTTAAATTTCATAGAGATCGATACACTTAAACTGAAGTTATTGTACAGAAACAAAATGTCTTACGACGACGATGACATGATAGCAATATACGACTCCAAAACTTTTTTGCAGTCGTATAAAACCATATATGTAGATCTAGATATAGTGAAAATTCAGAAAATTAAACAAGCAAAACTTAAAGTAGTTGTTCCTTAGATAACAACAATTTGAACAATTCATAAATATGTATAGAATACAAACAGTCAACCATTTTTTGTTGAAGTGAAAAATATCTGTTAAGATGATATAATAATACATAATCACTTATAATAATCTCTTTGTTTTTAACTGTAACATAACCAAAATACAAATAGCACCATATAAGTAAACAATATAAAAAACAACAAAAATAAATGTCAATATCAAAACACAAAAAAAAAAACACACTTCTTTGTGGTAAAAATATAAAATATTCATTTTATTATATGGTTTTTTTTACAATTCTAATGAAAATGTTGAGAAATGTTTAATCTAAACAAACAAAAAACTTGAATGAAAATCACTCAAATATTTTTACAAACACAAAAATACAAACCAAAAGAAATCAAACTGTAACAATATAAAAAAAACAAGATGTTCCCAGGAGTCATAGAACCATAGATGCCAAGTAGTGCATAACTAAGCCAGATGAGCTAAAATAATTAATTATACAATAATATATAAAAACAGGCAATAATGACTAGTAAGAAATTGAAGTTTGTCAGTTCCTTCACACTCGGAAATGTAATCCTGCTCAAGTTTATCCTGGTACTAAGATCAGTGAGGTCTGGCTCGAGTGATTACTTTGTTTACTACTTGTTGTCATTGTTGATCCAGTGTCCTGGACTAATTTGTCAGAAACTAAAACTTTAGCAATGTCAATGTCTTCATCACCTGTGGTGTCATACAAGTCTACCCAAATACTACCATTAAAGGACCTGAAAAAATATTCACTTTACAATATAAAGATACAAATCATAGCATATCTCAATGATATATCACTTCTAATACAAAACTACTGAATAATCTGTTTCAATAAAAGAAGAATGTGTCTGAGGACGCTTATGCCCCCAATTAAGCTTTGCAATTTTCCAAGTTAAAAAGGGGCATAACTCATAGTACAGTAAATGACTCACTGCCTTAGTTCAAACTGTCTGTGTGTTGCAGTTCTTAGCATTGTGTATGAGTTTCATCAAATTTGCATGGGCAAACTTGTCAGGGTGCTGAAACAAAAATGGGACGGATGGAAAGACAGAAATACGGAAGGAGGGAAAGTCAAGTGTAACACTTAATGCCCCTGTCGCTTATGGTGAGGTCATACAAATCTGATTGTTTTCTAGTATTTTTGGAAGAGAGAGAGTTATATACATATATATATCATCTGTTATTAGCAATTTATTTTCAACAAAACTATTTGTAAGAGTTCATCTAATTTATAACCCTGACCCCATAAATCCATTTTTAGGAATGAAAATTACAAATAAATGAAATATGAATCAAGGGAAACATTTAAAAAGTAGTGAAGGGTAGATGTGTAACTCTGCATGTGCCAGCTTGACTCTAATCTTAAGCTACTAGAATTTTCAGGTATCCTGTCGAAGGTAGTGGTTCTTTCTGGGCACTACAGCTTCCTCCACCAATAAAACTAGAGGCTCTAAAGAGCCTGTGTCGCTCACCGTGGTCTATGTGCATATTAAACAATGGACACAGATGGATTCATGACAAAATTGTGTTTTGGTGATGGTGATGTGTTTGTAGATCTTACTTTACTGAACATTCTTGCTCCTTACTATTATCTCTATCTATAATGAACTTGGCCCAGTAGTTACAGTGGAAAATATTTTGTAAAAATTTACAAAAATTTACAAAATTTATGAAAATTGTAAAAAATTGACTATAAAGGGCAATAACTCCTTAAGGGGTCAATTGACAATTTTGGTCATGTTGACTTATTTGTAGATCTAACTTTGCTGTACATTATTGCTGTTTACAGTTTATCTCTATCTATAATAATATTCAAGATAATAACCAAAAGCTGCAAATTTTTCTTAAAATTACCAATTCAGGGGCAGCAACCCAACAACATGTTGCCTGATTGGTCTGAAAATTTCAGGGCAGATAGATCTTGACCTAATGAACAATTTTATAACATCATATTTGCTCTAAATGCTTTGGTTTCAGAGATATGAGCCAAAAACTGCATTTTACCCTATGTATTATTTTTTTGCCATGTCGGCCATCTTGGTTTGCGGGGAGGGTCATCGGACACATTTTTTAAACTAGATACCCTAATGATGATTGTGGACAATTTTGGTTAAATTTGTCTTAGTAGTTTCAGAGGAGAAGATTTTTGTAAAAGATTACAAAAATTTACGAAAAATGGTTAAAAATTGACTATAAAGGGCAATAACTTCTTAAGGGGTCAACTGACCATTTTGGTATAATATAACTCCCATAAATAACAGTTATATTTAGTTATTCTTAACAGGTGACAGGTGTTCTTGTGCTAAACAGAAAATACGAATAATTAAAACTTACTTGGATTCTGTGTTGTATTTAGCACCAAGAGGTTCTATGTGCATAAGGAAACATTCTACAGCTTGGAAAGGTAAATGGAGAAGATTTTTGTAAAAGTTTACGGACGACGGACGACGGACGCAAAGTGATGAGAAAAGCTCACTTGACCTTTCAGGTCAGGTGAGCTAAAAACAGACCTCCATGAAATAAGGCTGAAAGTGGCGTTTAACACCAATTAACAAAAAAGTGAAGACAAGCAGAAACCATCTACATGATCTAAAATGAACCCTTCCAGAGGAAGTTAGCATGCTAACAAGTACAATAATATAACTTATACATTGAAAATACCTTCAATTGCTTACCTTGTCTTGACAAAAGCCACAAGAACTTTATTGTCAACCAATTCTTTAAATCGATACCTGTAAAAGAGACATATTAAAGAGTTCATAGAAGTTCTTGTTAGATGCTGTTTTTTTTCATTTGAATTCAAAGTATGTTTATAGGTGATTAAAATGTTATTTTATACTTTTAGCATGTTCAGCAAGTCATTTATGCATCTACGATTTTATCATATGCCTTTAAATTCAGAATTCTGGCCAATCTTAGAATATAGAATAATTACATAAAAAATTACTGGGTTTTAAGGAGATTGCTATGTGGCTAGTATTAAATCACATAAATAAGTTATATTTAGATATTCCTAATACATCCCATAAATAATAGTTATATTTAAGTTATTCCTAATAAATCCCATAAGTAATAGTTATATTTAGTTATTCCTAATAAATCCCATAAGTAATAGTTATATTTAGTTATTCCTAATAAATCACACAAATAATAGATATATTTAGTTATTCCTAATAAATCACATAAATAACAGTTATATTTAGTTATTCCTAATACATCACATAAATAACAGTTATATTTAGTTATTCCTAATACATCACATAAATAATAGTTATATTTAGTTATTCCTAATACATCCCATAAATAATAGTTATATTTAAGTTATTCCTAATAAATCCCATAAGTAATAGTTATATTTAGTTATTCCTAATAAATCCCATAAGTAATAGTTATATTTAGTTATTCCTAATAAATCACACAAATAATAGATATATTTAGTTATTCCTAATAAATCACATAAATAACAGTTATATTTAGTTATTCCTAATAAATCACACAAATAATAGTTATATTTAGTTATTCCTAATAAATCACACAAATAATAGTTATATTTAGTTATTCCTAATAAATCACATAAATAACAGTTATATTTAGTTATTCCTAATAAATCACATAAGTAATAGTTATATTTAGTTATTCCTAATAAATCACACAAATAATAGATATATTTAGTTATTCCTAATAAATCACATAAATAACAGTTATATTTAGTTATTCCTAATAAATCACATAAATAATAGTTATATTTAGTTATTCCTAATAAATCACACAAATAATAGTTATATTTAGTTATTCCTAATAAATCACACAAATAATAGTTATATTTAGTTATTCCTAATAAATCACATAAATAACAGTTATATTTAGTTATTCCTAATAAATCACATAAATAATAGTTATATTTAGTTATTCCTAATAAATCAAATCACACAAATAACAGTTATATTTAGTTATTCCTAATAAATCACACAAATAACAGTTATATTTAGTTATTCCTAATAAATCACATAAATAATAGTTATATTTAGTTATTCCTAATAAAGCCCATAAATAATAGATATATTTAGTTATTCCTAATAAATCACACAAATAATAGATATATTTAGTTATTCCTAATAAATCACACAAATAATAGATATATTTAGTTATTCCTAATAAATCCCATAAATAACAGTTATATTTAGTTATTCCTAATAAATCACACAAATAATAGTTATATTTAGTTATTCCTAATAAAGCCCATAAATAATAGATATATTTAGTTATTCCTAATAAATCACACAAATAACAGTTATATTTAGTTATTCCTAATAAATCCCATAAATAACAGTTATATTTAGTTATTCTTAACAGGTGACAGGTGTTCTTGTGCTAAACAGAAAATACGAATAATTATAACTTACTTGGATTCTGTGTTGTATTTAGCACCAAGAGGTTCTATGTGCATAAGGAAACATTCTACAGCTTGGAAAGGTAAATGGAGAAAATCTGGTAAAATTGATTTTATGCAGTTGTATCTTAGCCATTCACGGTTTCCAAAATCAACAAAAAATACCTGAAAATGACAATGGAGACATGGCATGATATGTTCATGTTATTAAAATATCAAAACATTGACCATGAGATAACAAGTCATGTCCAAAGGCACCACACCCATTATTATACCTTACATATAATATAAACAATTCTATTGGGTTACACGTAATCACGTGAAATGGAATAATTCAATTAATTTTCATTTAATTACAAGGAAGGACGAATAACCCTGAAAATTAATACCAGCGGTGAATAACCCTATTATTCACTGGCGAATAACCTTTTGAGTTTCTTGATTTGTACACTAGTTATTTCCCATGAAAATGACGTCCCAGATGTCAGTAAACAAAAAGGAAACATTCACGTTACAGGAAGCCCATCGAGTGACGAGGAAACAAAGCTTTGGACATGCATCTAGTGCCAATGATATTTCTTTTAAACAGTCCTTTTCAGGGCCATTAATTTTTTACAAAAAGATTCTACCTTTGTTGTACATACGAGAAATTCTAAGACACAAATGTATTTTCGAATGTCAACTTGTGATTTCACTTGTGTTTGTTACTATAGTAAGGTAACTGCTTTTTCAATAGTTTAAAAGGCCCTCCACTGTTAGTTCGGTATAATAAAACAATTGTAGCCCCTTAGAAGGGATGAATATCCAAAATTATTAACCCTAAAACATTATTTCACTTCGGGCTGCACCCTCAGTGAAATAACCTTCTCGTGTTGACAATTTTGGATATTCACCTTTTCTATGGGCCATAATTGTATATTGTCTGGAGATGATTTAGACATTTCCAATATCAAAGTATCTTCTAAAACAACTGTCGTCCTATGAGGGTATTCAACCTACATAATCAAAAATAAACTGTTGACACAGAGATTCAGAAAACAACAATATGATGGACAGCAACATGATTCATTAATTCAATCGCTGGACCATTATCTAGTAGGCAGGGTCTGAAAATAATCGCCAAACTGATAGTAATGCAACTTTATATAAAATATCATTGATCTATCACAAGTAGTTCTTATCAAACTGACTTAAGCAGAAAACTTAACAGTGAAAATTGCTAATTAATTGAAAGTCACTGGACCATGACCTATGGGGGAAGGCCCTTGCAAAAGTCGTCAAACTGATATGAACTGATAGTAATGCAACTTCATACAAAATACTGTTGCTCTTTCACATGTAGATCCTATCAAACTAACTTAAGCGGAAAACTTAACATTTAAAATTGCTAATTAATTCAGTCACTGGAGCATGTCACAGGAGCAGGGCCTCAAAATAGTCATCAAACTGATATGAACTGAAAGTAATGCAACTTCATACAAAATATCAATGATCGATCACAAGTAGTTCCTATCAAACTAACTTTAGCAGAAAACTTAGCAATTGTTGATACCGTCGCCATAAAAGCAATCCCTATGTCTCGCTTTCTGCTACTTTGCGCAGGTGAGACAAAAACCAGAAAATGCAATATAAATAATTATTCATGGAAATAGCTTTGGGAAAAAAAGAGATAAATTTTGCTAAATAATTTAATATGCATGACATGAAAGTAACAAACAGTTAATTACATATAATTAGAAAATATGGAGAGATACCTAACATAAGCAATTAAAGATAACCATGCATATATTATACAAAATTCATTTACAGGTAGGGTAATAATGTTACAATCAACATAGAACTCTTTCATCTTTCAGAGCTATTTTGAATGCTTTTCCTGCTTTAGACCTAAACAGTTTCAATTACAAGTAAATTGTGTAATAAGTCTTTGAAATATATTGTAAGTTAAAAAAAAATCCAATCAACAATCAGGCAACATAATAAGGAATGGTATTCAATTAAATGTTCGCAGTCATCCATATATCATGTCAATTTCCTTTGGGATCATGCATCATTTATAAAATCATGGGTCATTTACCTAAGTAACTGATCATGAATTAGATCAGTATCAAAAATCACCTTTCCCAACTTATGAATAATACAGAATGTTAAAATTTCATTTTACAATTGCCTCATTCTTGCTAACACTGGCATTTGCATACTTAAAGGCTATTTAAATTACTACCTAGCACAGAATCTGCTCAAAATTATTACAAACAACATTTTAATCCAAAGGTACTAGAAAAAGCCACATTCCCCCTCCCCAACCACATAAATAAATGGTATGTCTATGAAATCCAAAAGATAATTCTGATAAAAAAGTAGGAGGTGCACAATGGAATAATACGGTAAAGTTTTGTTCAATACTATTGTTTTGGGGTTTAGGAGGAATTTCAGAATCAAAATGGGTACAATCTATAAAAAAAAAGAAACAATTGCAAAGACCATGATCTGTTATGGGAAACCCCAAAAATACTTTCGATAAAAAAACAAAAAAACTGCACAATGGTATTATATGGTATAGATTTTGAGGAAGATTCAGTAAACTTTTATTAAAGGTTTAGAAGAAGTACATACAAATGCATACCATAGAGAACAGATGTTAAAGTTCATGTCATAACTAAGTTAACCCCAAATATCATTCAGATGAAAAATGAAATAATAAGAGAGAAAGATTCTTTTAAAGTTTCAAAGAGTTTAGTCAAGTGTTTCAGATGAGTAGGGGATATAAAAGACGACCAGAAGGACAAACTCCCTCATCACTTTATACTGCCTGCTACAAAAACTAGAGGCTCTCAAGAGCCTGTATCGCTCACCTGCATTTGACCTGTATTTACTAATGCTTTGGAAATCATGTAAAATAAGGTTAAAATCATAATTAATAGTATTAGATATTAGATATTATAATGATATCTAAGATAATAAACAAAAACTGCAAAATTTTTGTAAAATTACTTACTCAGGGGCAGCAACCCAACAACGGGTTGTCGGATTCGTCTGAAAATTTCAGGGCAGATAAATCTAAATCTGATGAACATTTTTGCCACCTGTCAGATTTGCTCTTAATGCTTTAATTAGTTTCAGAGATATAAACCAAAAACTGCATTTTACCCCTATGTTCTACTTTTAACCAAGTCGGCCATGATGGTTGGAAGGCGGGGTCATCTGACAAATTTTTTAAACTAGATACCCTAATAATGATTATGGCCAAGTATGGTTAAGTTTGTCTCAGTAGTTTCAGAGAAGAAGATTTTTGTAAAAGATTACAAAAATTTACAAAAAATTGTTAAAAATTGACTATTAAGGGCAATAACTCCTAAAGGGGTCGACTGACAATTTTGGTCACACAACTTATTTGTAGATCTTACTTTGCTGAACATTATTGCTGTTTACAGTTTATCTCTATCTATAATAATATTCAAGATAATAACCAAAAACTGCAAAATTTCCTTAAAATTACCAATTCAGGGGCAGCAACCAAACAACAGGTTGTCAGATTTGTCTGAAAATTTCAGGCCAGATAGATCTTGACCTGATAATCAGTTTTACCCTATGTCAGATTTACTCTAAATGCTTTGGTTTCAGAGATATAAGCCAAATTCTACATTTTACCCCTATGTTCTTATTTTAGCCATGGCGGCCATCTTGGTTGGTTGGCGGGGTCATCGGACACATTTTTTAAACTATATACCCTAATGATGATTGTGGCAAGTTTGCTTAAATTTGGCCCAGTGGTTTCAGAGAAGATTTTTGTAAAAAGCTAACGACAATGGACGACGACGACGGATGACAGACGACGGACACCAAGTGATGAGAAAAGCTCACTTGGCCCTTGGGCCAGGTGAGCTAAAAAGTTTTGGGTATAAAAATCATATATATATTTGCATCATCAAAACACATTTTCTGAGGGTAAGAATGCCATTTACTGTAAATCAAAACTAGAGGCTCTAAAGAGCTTATGTCGCTCACCTGCATCTTCAACAATGGCCACTTTTTAGTAGCTATAAGCTCTAAAGAGTCTGTGTCACTCACCTGCATCTTCAACAATGGCCACTTTTTAGTAGCTATAAGCTCTAAAGAGTCTATGTCACTCACCTACATCTTCAACAATGGCCACTTTTTAGTAAAAATCAGCATGAAAGGGGGACAGACAATTTCAGTAATGTTGACACAGTTGTGATAATTTTTCCTTTTTCAAGTTTCTATTTATCTATTACAGTTTTTAAGATAATAGGCAAAAAATGCAAAATTTTTTTTTTTAAATAATCATTTGGACAAAATCTCCAAAACGAGTCGTTTGAAGATTTCAGCCATTATGGCTCATTTGTAGATCTTGTCTTGCTGATCATTTTTGCTTTTGTATTGTTTCTATATATCTTCTGTAGTTTTTAAAATATTAGGTAGAAATGCCAAAAAAAAAGGGTAAAATCATCATTAAAGGGCAATATTTCTAATAAGGAGTCGTCTGACAATTTTGGTCATGTTGACTTATTTGTAGGTATTGTCTTGCTGATCATTTTTGCTTTTTTAAGTTTCTGTTTATCTATTAAAATTTCGGACACATTTTTTAAACTAGATACCCCAATGATGATTGTGGCCAAGTTTGGTTAAATTTGGCACAGCAGTTTCAGAGGAGAATTTTAGTAAAAGTTAACAGATGACGACGGACAACGACGACAATGGACAATGGACACCAAGTGATGAGAAAAGCTCACTTGGCCTTTAAGGCCAGGTGAGCTAAATATTGTCAAATCTCAAATGGTTTCTGAGTATTGTTGCCTTTTAAATAGACAGATAGAATGCACCAATCTCGAGTTGTTTTTTATGAATGAGTTACACTGGTTGACCCGAGGTCAATCTGAGTAAATGACGTCATTGAACAATCAGTTCTAACGTCGACAGAATAACATACAATGTAAGCATTGTGACGTAGGATATTAACAGGAAATTGAACCAATTCTAAAGTCGTCTATAATATTACTATTTCCCACAAAGCGCAAGTGGCTGGGGCAAATAATCAAGAATGTGTTCCTAGTATACCATGCTTGCACTATCCTAAATTGGTATGAATTTTTAAAAGTTGACATAATAATGAACATCTGGATACTACATTAAATTAAAACATTAACCTGATATTGGATGGACGCATAGACCAGAAAGAATCAGGTTCCTCCCTACTATCCTAGGCTGGACATAAAAATTTTTGATAATCTTCTGCTATATGATATCAGGTTTTTTATTGTTTTTAGAACTTACTCTCAGCCTATTTTCCTCGACAATGAGAACCCGTGCTCTGTACCATTTTCCATCTGATGTAAACTTAGCAGCTACTATTTCTCCTGGTGCTTTGTCAACTGTTGTGTCTTCATTATGACTTCCCTTACTATACTCCTCCCTAAGAAATGTAAATGCATGCTGTATTCCAATTATAACTGAAGTTTTCATTTTATTAAAGTAAATTTATATATATATAATTATTCTAAATATCAGCACAATCATGTTAAATCTGCAAATTTGCGGAAGCAATTTTTTGTTCTTCCCTCGCCAGGATTCGAACTCATGCTATTGGGATATCGTGACAACACCACCTGCACTGTGTCCAGCACTCTAGACCACTTGGCCACCTAGACTGAACTACAATTCAGCTTTTGGTGGCCTAGTGTTACCTTTCCTCGTCAGTAGAATCTAGAGTTGTAACACAGTACATGATATATTAGGCATGAAGATGGAATTAATTGCAGATTAGCTAAATTATCTGTCGTAAAGGATCGTAAGATGCAGTCACAGAAATAAATATTTGATAAGTACGTCTAAACAAGTGATAACTCTATGACTAATTCTGTGACTGCATCTTACGATCCTTTTCGACAGATAATTTAGCTAATCTGCAATCAATTCCATCTTCACGCCTAATATATCATGTACTGCAAATTTGCAGATTTAACATTGTTGTGCTGATAGTTAGAGTAATTTTGAATATAATATGTGTTTTCAGCCCTGTATCACCTTCACTGGTGATCCAATGGATGGATCTGTCGTAGAGTTGTCACTTGTTTAGACGTACTTATATATATATACATGTAGCAGTAACTGTTTTGTTTTCATGTACTACAATGAATAAAGACATTTAAAATTAATTTTCTGGTTCAGAGATACTGCTACTGGCTTGTAAAAATAACAGCATGTGTAAAAAAAATTCACATTGTGTGAATATTACCACTTCACACTGGTCAAAGGGTAATAACTCTAGCTGAAAGCTGTGACCTTTAGGTCTACTTGTAAGAAACTTTTTAAACTGGAATGTTTGCAACTGTAGAAAATATAAATAGAACAGTATATGCTTTTATCTTTAAGATTATTGTTAAAATAACAGATGGCACAACTACAAATGATCAATGCATAGGAATTCTCTTACAGGGATGGCTTGAGTAAACTACTACATACACCCACAGATAAAACGTGTGGACCAATGCACATGAGCATGAACATTAGACTTAGCAAACAGCGATTTTGAAGCACAACTTTAAATATTTGAGTCCGTAAGTGGGACTTAATTCTGGTAATCCAGCATTTTTATACCCCTGCTCAGCATAGTACGGTAACTACGGAGGGTAACGTTGTATCTGCAATCGAATGTATTATACTTACTGCATCTCTGATATCAGCTGATCAAAATTCATTTGCCAATCATCCTTTTTGTCTATTTCTGTAATAAATAATTTATTGGTGAAATATTTTGTATCAAAACAATATATAGTCATAAGAAGATGTGAAATATAAAACAAAATCTGAAAGAAATGCATCAAAGGTATTATATAAATCTTGACAATACATTTGCTACAACTTCGCACACATTTATTACATATTCTGGCAAAAATTTCATGCAATGTTGTGCAAAGTATACCACAACTAACAAAATATTCTATGTGGAATAACAACGGCCCAGCAGATCTGAAAAGACTTAAATATGTACATGTATAAACATTTGCTTGGTAATAATACCTTTCATCACATACAAATCTTAAAGTCTGGGGCTGTAAAAACTTTTTTTAACTTATCAACAAATATTTTTATCAATAAAAAGCAATCAGTTACTTAATCAAATTTCATCTGAATGTTCAAATCTAAACTATGTATCGTATGGAGTACACCATAGATGTGTTCCTGTTTGATTAAATTTTAAATAAGTATGGTCTATAGTACTTAAACATTAATTATAATCCATAGGTGTTTATCTAAACTTTGCATGGTCTATAGTACTTAAACATTAATTATAATTTATAGGTGTTTATCTAAACTTTGTATGGTCTATAGTACTTAAACATTAATTATAATCCATAGGTGTTTATCTAAACTTTGTATGGTCTATAGTTCTTAAACATTAATTATAATTCATAGGTGTTTATCTAAACTTTGTATGGTCTATAGTACTTAAACATTAATTATAATCCATAGGTGTTTATCTGAACTTTGTATGGTCTATAGTACTTAAACATTAATTATAATTCATAGGTGTTTATCTAAACTTTATATGGTCTATAGTACTTAAACAGTTATAATCCATAGGTGTTTATCTAAACTTTGTATGGTATCGAGTAATAAACATTAATTATAATCCATAGGTGTTTATCTAAACTTTATATGGTCTATAGTTCTTAAACAGTTATAATCCATAGGTGTTTATCTAAACTTTGTATGGTCTATAGTACTTAAACATTAATTATAATCCATAGGTGTTTATCTAAACTTTGTATGGTCTATAGTACTTAAACATTAATTATAATTCATAGGTGTTTATCTAAACTTTGTATGGTCTATAGTACTTAAACATTAATTATAATCCATAGGTGTTTATCTGAACTATGTATGGTCTATAGTACTTAAACATTAATTATAATTCATAGGTGTTTATCTAAACTTTATATGGTCTATAGTACTTAAACAGTTATAATCCATAGGTGTTTATTTAAACTTTGTATGGTATAGAGTAATAAACATTAATTATAATCCATAGGTGTTTATCTAAACTTTGTATGGTCTATAGTACTTAAACATTAATTATAATCCATAGGTGTTTATCTAAACTTTGTATGGTCTATAGTTCTTAAACATTAATTATAATTCATAGGTGTTTATCTAAACTTTGTATGGTCTATAGTACTTAAACATTAATTATAATCCATAGGTGTTTATCTGAACTTTGTATGGTCTATAGTACTTAAACATTAATTATAATTCATAGGTGTTTATCTAAACTTTATATGGTCTATAGTACTTAAACAGTTATAATCCATAGGTGTTTATCTAAACTTTGTATGGTATCGAGTAATAAACATTAATTATAATCCATAGGTGTTTATCTAAACTTTATATGGTCTATAGTACTTAAACAGTTATAATCCATAGGTGTTTATCTAAACTTTGTATGGTCTATAGTACTTAAACATTAATTATAATCCATAGGTGTTTATCTAAACTTTGTATGGTCTATAGTACTTAAACATTAATTATAATTCATAGGTGTTTATCTAAACTTTGTATGGTCTATAGTACTTAAACATTAATTATAATCCATAGGTGTTTATCTGAACTATGTATGGTCTATAGTACTTAAACAGTTATAATCCATAGGTGTTTATTTAAACTTTGTATGGTATAGAGTAATAAACATTAATTATAATCCATAGGTGTTTATCTAAACTTTGTATGGTCTATAGTACTTAAACATTAATTATAATCCATAGGTGCTTATCTAAACTTTGTATGGTATAGAGTACTTTCAAAAGCATCAATTGTAAACCAAGGATGTTTTCCCATCTGAACAATTATTAACTATGTATGGTATATAGTACTTAAGCATCAATTAGAAACCATAGCTATTTTCCTATATGATCACATCTTAACTATGTATGGTATATTGTACTTAAGCATCAATTGAAAACCATAAATGTTTTCCCATCTGATCAAATCAGAACTAAAATCGTTGCTTTCAGTTATTGGAAGATTTTCACACACGACACTGTGTAAAATATAGGCTGATTTCCTATCAGAGAATTTAATTTTAACTACTTTAAGTAGCCAGAACAAGCAAACAACAGAAATAATATACTATTTGATCTGGAGTATGTCTAAATAGCGTTTTATTCTTACCATCTTTTTCTTTCAAGTTGTCAATAGCTGACTTTCCAAAAGGCAGTGAGACATAGAAATGACCAGGGTTTAGCACAGTGGTGACCTCTACAGCTACCCATGTTCCTGGTTCTGGCAGAATCTTCTCCATATAATACTCATCCACAGCTCCATATACCAGTTCTTGATCTAATGTGACACCATCTGAAAAAAAAAAAATTTACATTAGCCCAGGATCCATGAAGCCTTGACCACTACCTTGGTGTTTATGCCTACTGACTCAACATGTCAAAGAATTAATAATTAAAGCAAGGATGACCTCAGAATGCAGTTTTATCTAAATAAATTGTTGACACAGAGATATGCTTCACCTGTATGATTTTTAAAGTTGAACTCAAATGTTCAAATCAAAATTGCAATAATCATTAACATTTAAACTATGCAAAATATTCATAAGTGGTACCCCTTTCAACTTAACTAATCACAAACTTTAACATTTAAACTTTGCAGAAGTTCCAAGTCAATGAGCAATGGTTGATATGGTGGGCCGAAATAATCTAAAGAAATATGCCAAAGCTAATACAACTTCATACCAAAAATCATTGACTTTCATAAGTTGGTCATCTTCTTTAAATTAACTGATCTTATCTCAAACTTGCATCACTATTCAAAAGATTCAGGCAATGGACAATGAATGAGGGGACAGGGGACATAGTCTCATACGGATATCAGGTTATTAAGGATAAATTTATAATACTCTCAAAAATGTTCTATGCGGTGGCATTATGGCCAAAGAAAGTGCCTTTAAAACTAAAAGCAGGATCCATTGTTTAAATTATATTAATATCATTTATGTAATTAACTATGTTGTATTGTTTTCAATAACTAATTTGTCTGTTTTTTCCATATACCTGGGTGACCCAATTTTTACCTGATGTTACTTCCACATGTCTGTAAGGACACCGGTCTCCTCTCCAACAATCACCAAGGTTGTAGTACTTACAGATCCTTGACTCATCCTGGGCCCCTGAAATAAACTATATACATCAGTAAGCACAAATGAAAGGCATCCTATAATTCATTACTGTTTTATTTTCTTCATTTAAATAGTCTCATTTAAGACAGAAAAAAATAGTTCATATGTTTGACAATTATCTGTCTTAAAGTATTTTTTAGTTCTAGAATTTTTTGTCTGTAAGTGAATTTAATACCTTTAAAGTGAGGGTATCCAAATTGCACCTATTTTGACAGTCTTTTCACCTACATTTATTTATGATCCAGATAAAAGTTTCCATTCTGTGTTTATTTTGTAGATGTATCCTTATGTACTATACATATCCACTAATTTTATTTTGAATCCATATTGAATCACAGAAAAATGGGTGTGAACCGACCTACAATCAATGATTCTGTAATGAGGAGTACCCAAATTGCTTTCATGCTTAAATTCACATCCGTAAAAATCGAATAACTAATGTTTTGTTTTATTTCTCCAAATCTTTAGAGCAATTTGACAATAGTCCATGCTTACTGTTAATTATTTTATGAAATGGATGCCTGTAACATGTTTTAATTGCTCATTTTTAAAAGTTGGCTTTTAGTGGTGCTGCTATTTTTGCTAAATGGGTGCAATTTGGGTACTGTGACGTTATATCATATTTGCATTTGTAACTTCAATTTAAGGTTGTATGCGAATATAAACAAACAAAAAGGGACCAGTTGAAATTTCTGACCTTCTTTACTGAAGACTAAATTTTATGTTGAAAGTCCTTCAGGTCAAGACTCCAGGTCTTACTAAACATATGATATCACAGAAATTTAAAATCATTCACTTATCCACAATAAACTGTTGACACAGAGATATGTCTCGCCTTTATGTATTGTAATTTTGATAGTATAATACAAATGTTGAAATCAAAACAGCAATATTTAAATATGTCAACTACGCAAAACATTCCAAGTAGAACAAAGATGGAAGGTGTAGGGCAAAATAGCCTTCATGGAAATGAGAAATGCTAATGCTTATAAAACTGCATATCACACACCATTGACTTATTATAAGGGGTTCCCTTTTAACTAACCTAAGCACAAACTTAAACATATAAGCTATGCAAAAGTTTTAAAGTCAACAAACCATGATGAGGGAGCAGACCATATTATCTTCATGTAAATGAGACTTGCAAATGCTAAAAGAAATGCACACAAAATATTATTGACTTAACATTAGTGGTTCATCTTTTAAATAAACTGAACAAAGCACAAATCTAAACATTTAAACTAAGCAAAACATTCAGTCAACAGACCATGACTAAGGGGGCAGGGACAAATAATCTCTATGGAAATGAGACGTGTCAAAGGTAATACATCTACATACCAAATACCATTGACCTAACACTAGTGGTTCCCACTAAAACTGACATTATCACAGAATAAAACATTGTTCCTGCCGCTGCTGCCACCACCGTTGCCACTACCGTTGCCAGAAACAGCACACCCAAGTTTCTCTTTTTCTACTATGTCAAGGTGAAACAAAAATGAGGTTAATTTCAAATTAACCATATCAGACAAATTTGTATTTAATGATTCTATACAACAAATATAGTTGACCTATAACACAGGGCTTCTAAAATGGTCATAAGGTCAGGACTTCTGGTTGGTATTTTTTAATTGTCCAGATAGAACAAAGAAACAGTTCAAAGTCATTCACAATATTTCATATGATTAAAACAAAAATGTGAGGTTTATGAGATCAATATTCCATTACATGTACACTTTTCCAGTTCTAAATGTATTCCTGTAAAAACAATCCCTATTTAGATACCCTGTCTTCAAAACAGTTACTAACAAGTTGGCTCATTGATGATACCTCAGTTATAAGTATTCAGTACTGTTGGTGAGTGATGAAAGTAAAAACGTATTTTTCTAATTTTCATGCTTTTTTTACATTTCTTGATAGGTGTGAGAAAAATATTTCTCATGACTCATCTCTAGAAAAAACTTTGTTCTTGGAAAATGATTGGTCAAAATTCATTTTATTAATTATGACGTCAAATTTTTTTGGGTTTCTTCTGAATTTCATATTTTTATGTCATAAAAGTTGAGGCTCTCAAGAGCCTGTGTCGCTCACCTGATTCTACTTTGGTTTTGGAAATCATGTTAAAATAGATTAAAATCATAACAGATACCCTAATAATGAGTGAGGCCAAATTTGGTTTAATATTGGCCCTGTAATTTAATAAAAAAAATCCTGGTGGCCATCTTGAACAGTAAATCAGCAACAAAGTAGCAACACTTCATCAGCACCTCATAAGAAACATTCATGCCATGTTTGGTTTCATTCCATTCAGTGGTTCTCTAAAAGAAGACATTCGTATGTATTTCCCATAGGGTCCTATGTTAAATTAAGTCCCCCCACTGGCGGCCATCTTGGATGATGGATCGGCTTCAAAGTAACAACACTTGGTCAGCACATCAAATGGAACATTCATGCCATGTTTGGTTTCATTCCATTCAGTGGATCTCTAAAAGAAGACATTTGTATGTATTTCCTATAGGGTCCTATGTTAAACTAAGTCCCCCGCAGATGGCCATCTTGGATTATGGATCAGCTTCAAAGTAACAACACTTGGTCAGCACCTCATAAGGAACATTCATGCCATGTTTGGTTTCATTCCATTCAGTGGTTCTCTAAAAGAAGACATTTGTATGTATTTCCCATAGGGTCCTATGTTAAACTAAGTCCCCCGCTGGTGGCCATCTTGGATGATGGATTGGCTTCAAAGTAACAACACTCGGTCAGCACCTCATAAGAAACATTCATGCCATGTTTGATTTCATTCCATTCAGTGGTTCTCTAAAAGAAGACATTTGTATGTATTTCCCATAGGGTCCTATGTTAAACTAAGTCCCCCACTGGTGGCCATCTTGGACGATGGATCGGATTCAAAGTAACAACACTTGGTCAGCACCTCATAAGGAACATTCATGCCATGTTTGGTTTCATTCCATTCAGTGGTTCTCTAAAAGAAGACATTTGTATGTATTTCCCATAGGGTCCTATGTTAAACTAAGTCCCCTGCTGGCGGCCATCTTGGGTGATGGATTGGCTTCAAAGTAACAACACTTGGTCAGCACCTCATAAGGAACATTCATGCCTTGTTTGGTTTCATTTCATTCAGTGGTTCTCTAGAAGTAGTTCAAAATGTAATAAAATGCTCTGCTGGGCGCAGCTTGATACGACCGCAGAGGTCGAACCCTGAACTGTTGGGGCAGGTATGGACACAACATTCAAGCTTGATACAGCTCTGAATTTGGATTGTGATTAAATATTTGACACAGCATAGGTTTCTGACACAGAATGAATGTGGTCTAAGAACTTAAAAAAATTTTAATTTACCTACTCAAACCATATCATTATTATTTGTTTTTATATATAAACCTCAAAATCAATCCCAGCCTTCCCTTTGTGGTATAGTACCTTGCAGTACAATTTCAGAGAGATCCATACACTTGAACACAAGTCATTGTCGAGAAACTAGAAAAATGCTTTTTTTTTGCCCCTTATTCCTAAACGTTTTGGGCAATTATCCCAAAACTCAATTCCAGCTTTCTCTTTGTGATATGGAACCTTGTAGTACAATTTCAGAAAGATCCATACACTTACACACAAGTTATTGTCCTGAAACTAGAAAAATGCTAGTTTTTTAGCCCCTTTTTGGCCCCTAATTTCTAAAATTTTGAGGCAATTACCCCCAAACTCAATCCCAGCCTTTCCTTTAGTGGTATGGTACCTTGTTGTACAATTTCAGAGAGATCCATACACTTGAACACAAGTTATTGTCTGGAAACTAGAAAAATGCTTATTTTTGGCCCCCTTTTGGCCCCTTATTCCTAAACGTTTTGAGCAATTACCCCCAAACTCAATTCCAGCTTTCCCTTTGTGATATGGAACCTTTAAGTACAATTTCAGAAAGATCCATACACTTACACACAAGTAAATGTCGTGAAACTAGAAAAATCCTTGTTTTTTGCCCCTTTTTTTGCCCCTAATTTCTAAAATTTTGAGGCAATTACCCCCAAAATCAATCCCAGCATTCCTTTTGTGATATGGAACCTTGTGGTACAATGTCAGTCAGATCCATACACTAACACACAAGTTATGTCTGGAAGTTACAAAAATGCTTATTTTGGCCCCTTTTTGGCCCCTAATTCCTTAACTGTTGGTACCATAACCCTCAAAATCAATCCCAACCTTCCTTTTGTGGTATTGAACCTTGTGGTAAAATTTCATAGAGATCCATTCATTAAACTAAAGTTAGAGTGTGAAAACCAATGTGTCTTCGGACGATGACGACGACGACGCCAACGTCATACCAATATACGACCACAAAAATTTTTTTGCAGTCGTATAAAAAGTTAACAACGACAACGATAGACGACGACGACGCACGCCAAGTGATGAGAAAAGCTCACTTGGGCCAGGTGAGCTAAAAAGGTGATGACTTCACATATAAAGAACACAACTTTCTGCAAATCTTTGAAAAGGAAGACAGAGCTCCAGATAAGCTGTGTATTTGCGTGATCCCATTGCAACATTCTAAAACCCAATTCATGCAAAGGAAAACCCAATAATTTGTCAAAACCATGAGTTCTTAACATTTTTAGGTGCTATCGTGTGCGTTATTTACCCTCATCTTTTTTACAGTCGTCGTGTAAATCTATTTTTGTAATATTGAAAATCGAAAATGTCCTTTCATTCTAAAAATAGAGCGTTGAAAGGGTCCCTGTTGCTTAAAGGTACACATGGTGATGAAAACATTTCGATCTTCTCTGTCTTTATCCAATTAGGGTTAGTCATGTCGTCATAATTCTTTTCGTATTGCTCGGGATTTAACATTACACTAAGCAATGAATTAAAACGAAAGTAAATTTCCGGTAAAAATATTGAATAGAAGCATGTTTTTAGCTTCTTTTTGAGAGCTGAGGAATTATGATAACAAGACTCAGCTAGTGTTATCAGGAAGCGTA